GGCCTATACGTACATTAGGCCGGGTTGGGCTAGCCCGTGGCTCATGTCCATGTGCCGCCACCGCTTCCATGGAACCTTGAAGTCGCCCTATCTGCAAACTCAGCATCAGATATTCAGGCCTTGTTTAGATTGCCTCAAAATTCTAAGTTTTTTCACTCTCTCTCCATCACATCAATTTTTAGACGCATGCATGGAGCATTAAATGTAGGTAAAAAAATAACTAATTACACAGTTTGGTTGTAAATCACGAGACGAATCTTTTGAGCCTAGTTAGTCCATGATTGAACAAAGTTTGTCAAATACAAACGAAACGTGCTACAGTGTCCAGATTACAAAAATTTGCAATCTAAACAAGGCCTCAGATCGCATGTTTACAATACATGTATATATATACTCGAACTTGTCATCGTACGTCGTCAATGGTTACGAAGAAACTGTGGCATGACACACGCTTTGCGCCCCCACGCTGGTACATGCACGCCTAGGCGCGAACAAAACAGCAGACACGACACTATCAGTGCGCTTGTGCAAAGGTGATAAGAAGTGTTGGAGGGTAGCTCATGGCCGGACTTGCCGATACCTTATAGTCATCCTAGTACTCCACGATGGATGCAGTACTAGTAACATTTTATCAGGACCACGATGGCATTATGAAGGGCAACAAAACATGTACGATTCTCCGATCCATCCATGGATGGATCCACGGAGAGCGAGATCGAGGTTTGTTTTGGATTGGATCATTCATGGAGAAGAAGAGGCAAGCAAGGTAGTAGCATTGATGCAAGCCAAGCTCACACCAAACCAAACTGGAAGGAAGGCAAGGCAAGGCAAAATGCAAGGCGCTGCGGCATGAATGCTTTGCTTGCTTGCCTGTTCGTCCGGCTTTTCGAGTGGAAACTCCCAAGGCTGCATGCATCAGCGATTAGCCACCGCCAACCATCACTCATGCAGCCACTTCTTGTCGCGTCTCGAGCATAATACTAGCACTTGTTAAAATAAATTCCCCTGATTTCTGTGTGTTTTTTCGTAGAAATTTGAAAACGTGAAAATCCTATACGGTACGATTTTAACAACGACGAGACCCGGATTGGCAGTGGCACGCAGGAACCGTGTGTCGCGCAACATTGCCTGGTCCTGGTGCTGGTCTCTTCTTGTCTCCGTCTCTCTCTTTCAGTCTTTCTCCGTCGCCTGCACCTGGACGCATGCACGGACGCGATGCGTGTACGTAGGAAGGAACGGACGGCCGGCGTCGCTGCTGGTTGCGATTTGGGGCCATCCACAGGTGGTGGCTAGCTGTGCGGTGACGCACACGAGTGCCGTTTCGTGTGAGCTCATCAGCCCCGTCTGTCACTACTGTGTGCATCGTCGACGAGCATATGACTGTGCCGGTGACAGTGAGAGCAAGCAAACGGAGCTGCAGGCCAAGGACGTGGTGGCGATCGAGGCATGACCGCATGGCGGTCAAGTTGAGGACAAGGGCAAGCACCCGCCGTTGAGCTTGTTTTAGCTTATTCTCTCTCACATAATACTATTTAATTATCTAAAACCATCCAAAATCTAATGTTGAACTCACCATCCGAACACCCTGAAGGCGACTTTGGCCCCGTTCGTTTGGTTTATGGGCCTGTTCGCTGGTTGGGGCGGGTGCGGGTTTGGATTGGCTGGTGCTGATTTTTTATGAGAGAAAAACACTGTTGGCTGGCTGGTTTGGGCTGGCTGAAACCAACAAACGAACAGCCTGTATAAACCATATTTTTTCAATTAAAGAAATATTTTTTTTTCTTACAGCAAATCACAATAGTACTTTACGTGAACAGGGCATTCGTCTCTTTGCTGGCCGGGGCTGAAACCGAAAGCAAGCACAGCACCAGAGCACCTGCCTGCCGCTACGTACCATTTCCTTTGCTTGCTGCTCTATTTCGTTTTGTCACTCATCACTGCTGCTTGCTTCAGTGTTATTCGATTGATGGTTTCTGCGGCTGATAAGTCGGCTGATGCTGTTTTTACTGTTAGAGGAAAACACCTTACCACGACTGATGCAAAGATCTTGCGGAGCATGTACCAATTATACAGTACACTTCAAGTCTTCGAGATGAGCTGCCGGGGACAAAGGGAGGAGGAACTCACAATGCCGCCCATAGTATACTACTACGTGCTGCGGTGCTGGCACAGTGGCACATTGGCACTTGAGTTTTCATGACAGGAGGTATACGTGTACTAGAGTAGTAGTACTCCATAGCAAAGCAATTGCTGTGGTACCAGACTACCAGCAGTAGTGTGGACTGTGGAGTTCAGGAAAGATGATGGCAATGCACGCTTGCTTTCGCACAAAGGCAGTGATCGATGATATATAGCAAAACAAAACATACTACAGGGGAGGGAGAACGGAGAAGAGATACATGCATGGGGGCAATCACTCAACAGCGCGGGCGTACTAGCTAGCTCGGATTCGGAGCAGTGCCTTGACAGTCCTTGATCAATCCTCGTGGATCTACCTTTAGTTACCCCCGGGCCCACAATTTTGCCACTTTTACTTCCATTCAGTTAATAATAATAGTCGCATGAACTGTGGTCACCTTTCGATCCAAGCGGATTCTAAGAATCTAATACCCCTTCATTCTAAATTATAAATAGTTTTAGCATTTTTTAGGTATATAACTTTTTTCTATACACTATGTCTATATACATAATACAATTTAAGAATCCAGAAAAGGCAAAATGATTTTATAATCTCTAATGGAGGGAGTAGAAAAAAAATATATCTCCTTCGGACAAAATAGATTCTAGAGCAGATTTTAAGAGGTTGTTTAGCACAACTCTGCTTCACTAGCGAAGCAATTTTTTTTTGGCATCGGCTCCATGAGCGACTTCATTGGTAAAGCTAAAACTGTTCTGATAAAACGTTTGGTAAAACAATAAAAAGAATAAAATGACTATAATGACTTCATCTATTTTCCCTTTGTTTTTTCCTCTTCTATTTATTTATTCTTCCCCCATCTCTCTTCAATCCTGGTCCGGCTATTCACTTAGGCAAAAATCACATACCACCCCCTCTATCATCATCCACCCCTTACGCCGTCATTAGCGCCTTGCCACCGAGCTCCGCGTCTGCGCCCTGCCCTGGAGCCCTGCACTTTTGTCCGGCCCGATGCCACCACCCTCGCCCCGCCGCCAAGCTCCGGCACTTGCGCCCCACCCTGAGCCTCGTCGTCGTCCGCTGACGCTGTCGTTCGCGCCCCACCCCCGAGCTCAAATGCCTGCCCCTCGACCATCATCTTCCTTGCACTTGCAATGAGTCAGTGCATTTTGTGGAGCCTAGACAAATGAGCTAGGGCACCGAGTCTTATGTTTTTCCTATCTTGGATCCTAGTTCACCAGCTCTCTAATTGTTGCTTTGTTCATAAAAAAGGCTACAATCTACTCAATCTAGGCCGTATAAGCCAAAGAATAGCAATGCACATAGGTGTCACTCAACCTAAACTCAACAAACTAAAAACCAACTACGTTCTTTGTACCTTGTATCCTAGTTCGCCAACTGTCTCATTATTGTATTGCTCATCGGGATACCATTTATACCTGCACAAGAGAGGCTATAGGCTACTCAATCCAGGTTGTATACGCTAATGAACAACAACGCACACAAGGGTTGTAGATTGTTCAGAGCCAAGCCGCATATGCCCGCGCAAGTGCCAGTCAACCTAAATTCAACAAAGTAAAAGTACATATGTTTTCCCTACCTCGCATCCCAGTTCACCACTATCTAATTATTGTATTGCTCATATACGCCAACGACGAATAGTAATGTACACAATGGCTGTATATTGCTCACAGCCAAACCGTATATGCCAAATGCGGATAATGCTAGATAATTATGACGGCCAAATTTAGAAGATTGAAAACATCGCGTCTTGAATTTTCCGCCATTGACTCAAATTTCATACACCTCAGGACTGTTTTGGTTTGAAGCTGGCCCAGACAACGTATCGAATTTTGGAGGCTTGAAGTAGAGATGGATATCTGGCTAAGTTTCTTTGTATTCACGACCAATATCAAATTTAGCATGTAATGCAACTCCGTGCACCAAACTTGAACTTCTCATGATCACTCAATCCGTCACTTTGACCTTCAAAATTCAAATCAGCCCGTGTTTAGTTGACTGAATTTTGGAATTTTGGCTACTGTAGCACTTTCATTTTTATTTGGCAATTAGCGTTTAATCATGGACTAATTAGGCTCAAAACGTTCGTCTTGCGATTTCCAACCGAACCGTGCAATTAGTTTTTTTTCTCGTCTACATTTAATGCTCCATTCACGTATCGAAAGATTCGATGTGATAACTACTATAGCACTTTTTGAGATTTTGGGTTTGGAACTAAACGCGGCATGCAGAATTCAGAAGTAGCACTAAGCCTTGTTTAGATTGGGGTTATGAATCAGTATTTGGCACTGTAGCACTTTCGTTTGTATTTGATAATTATTGTCCAATCATGGCCTAACTAGGCTCAAAAGATTCGTCTCATAATTTACCATCGTAATTAATTATTTTTTTATCTACATTTAATACTCCATACATGTGTCTAAAGATTTGATGTAACGAGGAGAGAGCGAAAAAACTTTAATCTAGACAAGGCCCTGGTATCACTGCTTGGGTTGTTGACTCCTTTGCACGCAAGGAAAGCCAAAACAACCGCCGAATTCAAATCCCCCCACCGAAATTTCCCCCAAAACATTGATGGAGTGATTGGAACGGCCCGGTTTTTGGTGTCCAACCCAAGCACCCTATTTAATTCACCACACTCTGCTTTTCACTCCAACCGTGCCCCCACACCCCGCTCCTCTCCTCGCTTTTCTCCTTCCCTTCCCAGGAGCCCTCCCCTCGCTTTCTTTTTCTTTCAAGAAGGGAGAAGGAAACCACCGCCAGGGAGGCACCACACCACCCCTGATAAGAAGGGGGCCGGGGTACGGACGCGCCTGCCCTCTCCCGCTGCCGCCGCGACGCCATGGACGCCTGGGAGGCCACCAAGGCGGTGTTCGACCGGGTGCGGGCGCTGGACCCGGACAACGCGTCCAAGATCATGGGCCTGCTGCTCATCCAGGACAACAGCGACAAGGAGCTCATCCGCCTCGCCTTCGGCCCCGACCACCTCCTCCACGCCTTCGTCGCCGCCGCACGTGCCGATCTCGCTGCCAAGCCTGCCTCCCCGCCGTCGCCCGTGCTGGGCCCGCTCCACCAGCCCGCCTCGCCATGGGGGCCGCCGGCCTCCGACCACCACCACAACCACCAGTCCTCCTTTGCCGCCGCCGACCACGCGCTCGGGTACGACTACGACGGCGCCGCCGCCTCCGCCGACGCGTTCTTCCCCGACGACTACGACTGCTGGTCCCCGGCCGGCGACACTGGCCACCGCCGCAGCTTCTCGCTCAGCGATGCCGAGGTTGCCGCCGCCGCCGCAGGCGGCGGGGGCGCGTGGAGGCCCTGCATGTACTTCGCGCGCGGGTTCTGCAAGAACGGCTCCTCCTGCCGCTTCCTCCACGGCCTGCCCGATGACGACGACGCCGCCGCGGAGCGCGAGATGGTCGTCATGCGCGCCAAGGCCCTCGCCGCCGCGCGCTCCCAGCAGCAGCAGCAGCTTATGGCGTCCGCGTTCCCGTTCTCGCCGTCGCCACCCAAAGGCGTCAACCTCAACTTCCTGCTCCACCACCAGCAGCAGCAGCAGCAGAACGAGCCCCAAAGGTGCCATTTTGGTTCCTCGTCACCACCAAGTTTGCATTTTGTTCCAGTCTCTTGTGCCGGCCGGCCTCGCTAATCTGGCAAGTGATCTCGCTTGCTGCTTCAGGGCGGCGGCTGCTGCGGCGGCGGCCATGCTGCTTCAGGGCGGCGACGACATGCACGGCAGGTTCCCGGTGCGGTCGCACCGGGTGGACCGCGGCGAGCTCATGTCCAGCCCTGCCGCGCGGCAGATCTACCTCACCTTCCCGGCCGACTCCACCTTCAGCGAGGAGGACGTCTCCAACTACTTCAGGTACCGGGCACGCCGCCATTATTGGGGGTCCTGTTTTGTTTCGACCACTGTCTCTCTTGTTGCCTCCCTCTCTCTCTTTCCTAGTAGTCCAGTCCATTCCAGTCCAATAATGGGCGAACGAAAGAAACCAACTTGGCTGATTGATCCATCGATGGCGACGCGCCCCGTCGTCTGTTTGGCAGCATGTACGGGCCGGTGCAGGACGTGCGCATCCCGTACCAGCAGAAGCGCATGTTCGGCTTCGTCACCTTCGTCTACGCCGAGACGGTGAAGATCATTCTGGCCAAGGGCAACCCGCACTTCGTGTGCGACGCGCGCGTGCTCGTCAAGCCCTACAAGGAGAAGGGCAAGGTCCCCGACAGGTTCAGGTCCGTCGTCTCCTTCTCATCCTCCGGCCTCGACCCTCATGCATTGCACATTGCTCATTTTGACAGTTTTTGTTTGGTTGCGCAGGAAGCTGCAGCACCCGCACCACGGCGACTTCGCCTGCTGCACGTCGCCCACCGGATTGCTGGATTCCAGAGACCCCTTCGACCTGCAGCAGCCGCAGATTGGTGAGTAGTAACCGCTCTACTCTCTGCATTGCATTTGCATTTGCATGCACGCATTCCATTTTCTTTTCTTGCAGCGTTTCTTCTGTTGCAGATGGAGTTTGACATGTTGGTTTGGCAACTGGTGTAGGACCAAGGATGATGTACGGGAACATTGCCAACCACGAGGCGTTCCTGAGGAGGAAGCTCGAGGAGCAGCAGCAGGCAGCCGAGCTGCAGCAGGCCATCGAGCTGGAGGGACGCCGCTTCATGGGGCTGCATCTCCTCGACCTCAAGAGCAGGGGCCACCACCTCGGCTCCTCCCCCGCCGCCATGACCACCCTGGGGCAAGGCGAGGGCGGCAAAGGCAATGGCAATGCCATCCAGCTGGAGGATGTCAGCATCCAAGGTCAGCTTCTTGATCCTGACAAATTTCTTGAGGTGCTTTGAATGGAATTGAATCCATTGTTCAGAGGTTGTGACATCCGAATCGAATCCATGGTTTGTGGCTGTAGCAGTCCCTGTAGCAAATGCTCCTACCAAGATGATGAACAGTAACGGCCTTGCAATGGGTGCGCCTGCAGCAGCAGCTGCTGTGTCTGCAGCCGATGCAGGAGGCGAGCACGAGGAGCAGCAGGGAGAAGAGGATGGGTATGGGGGTGGCAGTCCCAAGCAGGCAGTCAACCCTGGGGAAGAGGAGAAGACGGAATCTGGTCCTGTCACGGTTACGCCCATTGTTGCTTGTGGATTCCAAGAAAGGTAAGATTTTGTTGTGGAGGATTTATTAATATCTACCAAATGGGCACTGAGGTCACAGGCTAGGATTTAAAACTTCTTTAAGGGGAAAGGCATGGGAGGAAAGGCAGTATAGAGAAACAAAGCAGACTGCATTACTTTCCCTTTCTTTCTTTGGGCATGTTTTGCTGGTTCATCATAGAAACAATGTTAGGCATCTTGACATAAAAAAAATGCCCTGCCGAACAAATTTGTTGCAGCGCCTGCATGGTTAGTTAATTGGTTAAGTTTGGCAAAGATGTGTGACGATCAGATGGCAAATCCACCAAGTTTGTTGTCAATATGCTATTGTTATCTTCCGGCTTAGACCTAATTTGCCTCGATAAGCAATTGTATAAGAGTCGGTTAGGTACATAGGCTGTGCTGATCGTTCATTGGTAGTTTTGAATCTTGATTGAACCAACAAAAAGGAAGGAAAGGAATGCGATGGCAAAGGGTAGGGGAAAGGAGAAAAGAAACAAGTGACTGCCGCAGCTAATGGCTATTGTTAAGCTGTATCTTGGTGCAACTTGTTCCCTTTCTTTTGGGTTTGGTCTTGATCTTTCCTGGATTGATATTTTCCTTGTTTTGCTTGGATTGCAGTGGCGTGGTGGAGCACATTTTGCCTGACAGCCCCTTTGCATCCCCCACCAAGGCCGCTTCCACTGATATATCTCCAGCAGCTCAAAATGGGAACATCAGCATTGACAGCCCTCACCATGTGGCTTCATCCCTCTTCCCACCTGCATCCACCATTGAGCTGCCCCCATACAACTCCTGCTTCTTTCAGGCGCCCAGGTAGAAATTCAGCCACTTCTCTCCATTGCTGTTTACAGTAGGATGTATGTATTGTTGGTAGCAGCACAGCTGTTTACAGTTTCTTTTTATAATAGCACAGTTGTTTGCAGTGGATAGTAAGAAACTGTTTTTCTTCAGGTTTTCTCCTGGGCATGAAGCCATTGGGCTGTGAATACAGAGCAAAAGGGGTCTCCTTTCCTCTAATCTGGGAGTAAGTACCAATCAGCTGCTTAATCATGATGCATATAAAATTAGCCTCCCCACCTGATGGTTGTGTCATTGTTTATTTATGTTGTTACCTGCAGGGACTATCAATGACCACATCAAGTGGAGGGAAGAGTAGAAAGCTTTTAATTAACAAATACTGGACAACAGCAACAAAAAAAAGACAAGTCTAGGTTGTTTTAGCTCTAGGCCTAAGTATATGATATGATAGTAGTCCGATAAATAATAGTAGTCGTTTAGTAGCTCCTGCCGGTATCAAGATTCAAGAACAAGATCAAATTACTGGTCCATCTCGAATGCTAGTATGGATCTCAGTTTGATACAGGTAATTAAACCGTACATGGTGTAGTACTAGTAACTAGACAACTAGTCCTGGCAGCCAGTTGTAGTGAAGTGACATGGCTGCATACAGACATCCAAAGGAAACAGAGGGTAGAGAGGTAGGGGAGTGGACAAAAGCCAGGCCAGACAGACATGGTGTTGCTGCCGCAGCTGCACAAGGAAAAGTGATGAGACGAGACGGGGGTACTGCTGGGACCAGAGCACTCACGGGCGCAGAGAATCACCTTCACCTCCATGAGCAATTCAGCAGAGACCCTTCTCACCCGTGTGTACTATTTTGCCCATCCTCTTGTCATGTTTGCATAGTACTCCTTGTCATTGGGTCTGTGCATCCACCTTTTGCTCTTCTTTTCACCCTTGTAGTACTCGTAGAAAACAGCAGGAGGTAGTAGACAAAAGATATGGAAAAGTAATTATCAGTCATTTATTTTGGATTCTTGGTCCATGCTTTATATTTTGCTTGGTTCTTATTACTCTTTGTGTTCCAATTTAAATTAGCTTTTAGAGTTTCTTAACTAACTATTTTAAGTTTGACTAAATTTTAAGAGGAGCACTAAAATTTATGAAATCAAATTAGTATTATTAGATACATAATGAAATACGTATGTTCTTATACTGTCTTTGTCTCTGAATAAATAGATTTTTAGAGTTTATAGATGTATTTAAGATAGTTTGACTTGCATAGATTTTAGGAATTAATTTATTTAGGGACCGAGGGAGTAAATACTTATTTGGTGCCATTCATGTTGGTCTTTTTCTATAAAGTTGGTCGAATCTAAGATACTGAAGGTGCTAGGTTTGATTTAGATTTACTTTAATAGAACTACTTGTTCTGAACTACTGATTCTAAAGCTCATGGTTGAAATCTGCTTTGATTCACAACCAATAAAAAAGGGTACACAAGATCCGGGAAGTGTTCGTGCAACGCTGTATGTTTTTTTTTGGGACCTCATGAGTGTACACTGCAACATCGCAAGATGAGTGTACCTCTAATCTTGCAAGCTTTGGTACAAAGGCAAATAGAAAATGTGTTACTAGGTAAGGCAGTAAAGAATGCAAGAACATCTTGAGAATGCTGGCTCAGGTTAAGTGATGTCTCGTGGTTGTCTAATGCCAACCGTTTTAATCTGGGAAAAATATAGGGTGAAAACCACCTACAAATGGAAACATGGAAACTAGTTTAAAAAGTACTTTTTGTAATTTGAAAACATATATAGTGCATCTACTCCTATATATGTACCCACATGCAAAAGTTGGGATGTAACTTATTTTTGAAAAATATATACAAAAATCACAATTTCACTTGTATGTGCACTACAAGACAAATTTCTGGATTTTGTCTTCTAGTATTCTTGCACTTGAATTTTGTTATTTTTATGGAAATGCAATCATCTTCGATAATGAACATGTTGATCTCAGTACATGGAAGAGGCAGTTCAAGAAGGAACTTGGCCAAGTGTGCACTAAGGCCAAGCCAACGATTGAAACACACCTGCAAGAATTTTTCAAAAATGATTTTGCATCTCAACTTTTTGGTGTGGGCTCATGTATGGATGGACTACATATGCGTCAAGTTTCAAAAAATTTCAATTTACAAAATTAATAGCTGCATGATTTTGTTGGAGATCCATAATCATTAATAATAGGGAACTGCTCGGTAAAGTTAGGGTTTAAGATTTGGTGACACTCCCCTTATAGGGATGCTTTTGGCAAATTGGTAGCCCGAGGGTGGCGGTGATGAACAACAACAGGCACCATGAGGTAATGGGACACCAATGGGTGTGTTGCAGATGGGGTAGCTAGTTTGGAAATACAATGCAGTCATAAAAAAAATCTTTTTTGGATCCGATGATAGAGGCACATGCTCACATACATGAGCGTACCTTGATACTTATGAACACGCGCGCGCACACCCCTCTACGAGCAGCTCCTAAGGACCCTGCAAATATCGAGAATAACAAAGTCATCACATGGGCCTGGGTGTCGATAGACACATTGTCTACCACTAAAAGAATAGCGACGTTATATTTAGAAAAATGCAAGTACCCGTATCAAAGTCGATAACTTAAACCTAGGTGGACCGGTTACAACATGGTAAACCTAACCCACCGAGTTACAATCAATTCGCATCGTCAAAACATTCATGAGTGCTACTAGAGACTAAGCGGGGGAGCAAAGCGGGGAGGCTTCAGAGAGTGGAGTTGAATACGGAGAGAGGAGGCGAAGGAAAAAAAACTCGACCCACGGAGAGGGTATGATGGCTCCGGCATTATGCTTAAGAAGAAGTCCTTCTCAAGATGAAAGAAAAATGCAGGTAGGCAATATAAGGGCTGTTTGGTTCTCCTTCGATTCCTAGCCTGACTAGCTTTTAAGCCGGGGCAAGTCTAACCTACTTGGCTCAAGCCAATAGGCCATTGTTTAGTTGGAGTGACTGTCCAAGTCTGGATAAGAAATTGTATGTTTGGTTGGCTGGTTTTCCTAGAATAGAGTCACCCCTCTTTCAGCCGCTAAGTTTACCCCCCATTGGAACATTCCATCGAACACGATGGGGTGCATCGCCCTTGGAGCTCTGGCACATTCCCCGATGGCAGCGCGTGGCCAGTGGCAGCGTGGTGAGCTCCGTCTTCATCCTCGCGTGGCCTCGTCTACCTCTTCCACGACATGCGTGGTCCCGGTGGAGAACGCGCAGACGCCGGACGAAGCTCGTGCAGGTCCTGGCAGACGTCGTGCGAAGGCCTCGACGGAGCACGCGGTGGTCTTGGCGAACATCGCACGGAGGCTCTGGCGGAGCACACACGAGTCTTGTCGTAGCACGCGCGGAGGCCTGGCGAAGCTCACAGGGGAGACGAGCACTGACAGAGCCCACGCGGAAGAGGCGACGGAGCTCGCGTGGGAGACAACCGCTGGCGGAGGTGAGTGGACGAGGTGGTGAGATTATGCGTGCGTAGCCAAGCCAAGCCTGGCTTCCTGAAAACGATCCCTCCGGGCGTTTCTAGCTAGCTAGCTAGCTCCGAACCCCTCTTTTGTGAGTATGACTTAGGCCTTGTTTAGATGCACACCAAATTCCAAATTTTTTCACTCTCTCTCCATCACATCAATTTTTAACCGTTTGCATGGAGTATTAAATGTAGGTAAAAAAAAATAACTAATTACACAGTTTAGTTGGAAATCACGAGATGAATCTTTTGAGCCTAGTTGGTCTACGATTGGACAATATTTGCCAAATAAGACGAAAGTGGTACTATTCATCGGGTTGCAAAAATTTGCAAAGAGAACAAGGCCTTAGGGCAGCTACTCAAATTTAAAAGGTGTGTTAGGAGAATATTACACGGGGTGTTCGGATACTAATAAAAAACAAATTACATAATCCGTCAGTACTTTACTTGACGAAATATTTAAGCATAACTAACCCGTCATTAGCACATATTTACTGTAGCAAAACATTGTCAAATCATGGACTAATTAGACTTAAAAGATTCGTCTCGTAAATTAGTTACAAACTATGCAATTAGTTTCGTAATTAGTCTATATTTAATACTCCATGCATATGTCCAAACATTCGATGAGACAATGACTAAAATTTAGGAGGGGCAACCAAATACCCCCTTAGCAGCTAGATAGGCATCCAAACACCAGTTATGGGAGTCTGGCAAACCCCTAAACCACCCGTCCAAACAGCTCCCAGTGGAGGGAGGTTTGGCCATGGAGGACGATGCTGGCCTAGATGGCTAGATCCTTAGATAATATACTCTCTCCGTCCAGAAAAGAATGCAATTATGGGATTCGTGCTGGTCAAAATAACTCAAGTTTGACGAAATTTATAGCAAATACTATTAATATTTATGTCTCCAAATAAATTTATTATGAAAATATATATTCTATGACTAATCTTATTATACTAATTTTGCATCAGAAATGTTAGTATTTTTTATATAATTTTGGTTAAAGTTCAGAAAGATCGACTTCTCGGGAAGCGAGAATTGAATTGTATTTTTTTTAGACGGAGTGAGTATACAAGGGCTTGGGGGTAATTTTAGGATACATTTCATTTCATGAAATATCATTAATCATTCAACGAATGGCTTGCATGGCAAGCTGTGAAAAATGTTGTCGTTGGTGGTGGAGGTCTGTTCCCATTTGCCGAATTTTAGGGCAACAGGCAGAGCGTGGGAGAAAAGAGAGAATCTGGTGCAGTGACTGTGAGAGTGATTTGTCCGCGAGTGAATGGAGGGGGAGACCTGATGGGGAAAGGGCAAACGGCTCATGCGCCCTTTCGGTACGATGGGACGGCCATCGCCAACTTGAGCTTCGTGCACGCAGCATGCACTTGTTTCTTTCTTTGGTTTTCCGATTCCGATATAGGAGGAAACCCTGCAGTGCAATGCCGATATATGTGCATGCAGTGGGTTTTGTGTTGGCCTCGTCCTCACACCTGTTGGCTGTTGCCAACAGGTTGTTTGTGCTGAGCTAGAGACGACTAGTACTAGAGTGTGAACAAACCTTGCTCAGCAGATCTGAGCGTCGGCACATTGTAGCCGGCGGCCGGATTGAACCAAACTGTTGATGGGAGCATGCCATCAGACACCAGTGAGAAAAAAACAGTGCAGGTGTCTTCTTGTCCTAAATTTTTACTATTTGACCCTTTTTTCGAACAAAATTTACATTTGGCCCCCTGGAAAACTTAAACTCATCTTTGGACCCTGGGGGTCGGCGCCATGAGTCCTGGCGTCGAGGTAACACGTCTCGGCGCC